TTATTTAAGTTTCTGCAGTTTCTCAGCTGTATACACAGATGCATGCCTTCTTTGTAATTAGCTCATTTACAATACAAAAATGAGAACATTGTATATTTTCTGCGGGGCACTCTCACAACATTTTAAAATTTATTTTGCCAATTTGGGGTCAGTTTGTCCATTTCAGATGGGGTGATCTCAGAAACAGGTGATGAGGATTTTTAGCTACCTCTCTCCAACCTCAAACCAAAGAAAATCACTCCCATCCCATGCTCCAGGCAAGAAACCCACCAAAGGGCCTGCAGCTTCAGCCCAGTGTCCAGAGAGCTCGCCCCCATTGTGGTCTTCCTCATGTGGACACCACTAGGATCAGAATATAGCATATTATTGGATTTCTAATTTTCTGTGAAAAGACCAGGCTACGTTAAGCAGCCCTCACACACTGTCGCAGATGAGACCAATAAGCACATCCTGACTTAACTCCCGGTCTGGGTTGCCAAGGATACGCTGTCGAGGGACAGGGTCAGGAGTCAAACTGACCAATATTGAACAAATTGCATTGGTTTGAATGATTCCCCCTGAGCTAGTAATGATATGGCGAGCACAGGGCTGGGGTGCAGACAGATAACTCCTGCACTGGAGGATCACCCAGAGCGGCACTGGAACCCGGAATACGTGGACGCGCTTGTTCGGCATGTGTCTGAGCTTGTGAAATAGGCACAAGTGTGAGGCAGTGGCTCACAGAACAGTGGGCTGGTGCACATCCATCTACAGAGCCACAAGCGTGTACCTCTGTCTACACATTTCAGTTAATGTTACTCTTCAAGCTTGACAAGAACAGCTATTATGCTGAAATGTTCTGTTGTGGTTTCTATTTTTATTCTCATAACTATGTGTTTTGGGTTTTTTTGCTCCAAAACATGCTATTTTTCAGAGCACAATGAAACTAGGTAAATATTATCTAAGTTTTTTTTTTTTTGTGTGTGTGTGTAAGACCCTTCACAAACTACCTCAAGTGTATCACATATAAAAACTTAACTATCAATTTCAAAAATGATCAGAACCTAACAAAAGCAAAGAGTTCAATGGTATTCTTAATAAGTATTCTTCTAACCATTGCAATTAATACCTGTTCTGAGTGATCCATGCCAGGTCCGTGGGCATCCTCCCCCGTCAGTCTGGCTGACCAGGGAGAGTGCCCCTTTCTCATCTCCATCTTGCTCTCTCCCTCTGCCTCTATAGCATGGGGCTTTCAACACAGTTCATCAGGACTCCAGTTAGAGTCGTGCATTTGGCCAAGTGCTTAATAAACAGTCTGGAGCCACAAGAGATCCAGGCCTGCCAGCCTCCTGTCCAGCTCAGGAGCGGACAGCAGAAGATGCTCTCCAGGGCAGCTCCCCACCCACTCCTCCAACAGCCCTGGAGCCTCCTTGGGTGCCCCTTGTGCCCATCTCCACCAACACAGCTGAACTAACGTGGGCAGGAGAGGTGGGCATCGATGACCTCCCAGTACACTGCAGGTTGCAAGCAGCATGGTTAAAGGTCTAAGAACAAAGAAGTCAGGGAGAGAAGAGAAGGAACGAGAAGTAGCACCTGTGGGGGCTCTTCCCATGTAAGATGGGCTTCAAGACCCTCTGAAAATACTGAGAGAGAGTAAATTTACAAACTCAAAGAAAGCAGGCTTCCCCCTTGCCCAGGCTCATCCGTGAGAGCACTTTTCCAGAAGGTTCCAAGCATTGCCAGGCCTTGATAAGACTTGCCCCTGTGCTTGAAGAGTGTCGTCTAATGTCTGTGTGACAGTGGGACAGGTGCAGATGGGTGTGTGAACAGAACAGCTGGAAAACAGCAGAGAGTGCCCAACAGTCTTCTGATAAGTAGCTGAGTCGCCCGTACTACACGATTTATTTCTTTAAACACATTCTAGTTCCCATTCTTTAAGTTGGGGAAAAGAAGACCAAAACTGGCTGCATATAAAGAAAAAGAAAAAGAAGAAAAAACCAGGGGTCAGGACTATCAATATTTTAATGAATGGGATGTGATACTTGCTGTTTCTAAATCTAAAGACAAAGAAAAGGAAAAAAAATGGCCGATACAGTTCTCGATAGATGGGTTCAGAAAAGAATCATTCTGAGTCTGAGGCAGTACATCTATAAAAATGCTGAGTTTTGTGTGTGTTCAATTGGATACTGACCAGGGGAAGGCTGGAGGCAAGATAATTAAGTTTCTTTACTAATTTAGATCTTTGTAGCACTCCCCAGCCATTTCTTTAAGTCCTTCTGCCTGGCGGTGTCACCTTTGATGTTGGATTGTCTGCTGCGGTGAGAGGCTCTCCTGGCCTCACCCAGGTCCCTGGCCGTGCCTCCTGACAGGGTGCTGCCTGCATGTTGTAAACGTGCCGTTCCATTTCACACGTGTCCTGCAGTCTACACTAATCGCATTGTGATTTCACTATCAGTTTCAATAGAGGGGCGACTGATGAGGAAGATGCAGGGGAAAGTCTACAGCAAATCATAGAAAGGAAAACTAATACATCACAGCTCTTCACGTGCAGAAAGAAGATTCTTTGTAAGGCGAACTATTTAGAACACAGCTCATTCACGTCTTGGCAGGAGAGCTGCAGGGCACTCGCTCTTCACTTGGGATTTAAACGGACAGGTCAGAGGACAGGTGGTCCTGAACTTGCTCCTCCAACTTGGGCAGCCTGGGTCCTGTTTGCCCCACTCGTGAGGACGCCGCCTGCCACTCGTGGGCTCCTGAGCACAAGGAGGGAAGGCGAGCTCGGTGCCACCTGCTGAGGAACATCCGTGCGCAGGGTGCTCTGCAGTTCCACCTGGACCAACACACCCAGTGCCCCTGAGGCGACGGAGGGAGGAGATTTCGTAGATGAAGATTCTGAGCTCCAAAGACGCCTAACCTGCATCTTCACACTGCTGCCGTTTGAGCCCTGCTAGGTCCTTACCTGCGGCCACCCTGTGTTTTCTGAAGTTTCTTCTCTCTTTGTTCCAACCTCCATGGCAGTGTGGTCCACCTCTGGTGCTGACCAACACCCACTACCTGACCACCCAGGTTAGAATTTCTAGTCAAATCTTCTCCTGAAAGGCAGAGGAGACAAGTGCAGCTCCCGCCTCCTGATGTCCCTGCTGTCCTGCCAACCTCCTTCCCAAGCCCCTGTCCTGGGGTCTGTGACCTCTGTCCTCTCTGGCTTTAGACCTGGGGTTGGATGATCAGCCCCCTCTGAGCCTCCCTGTGGTCTCTGCATGATCGCAGGATGGGAGAGGTGGAGAGATGGAGTGTTCCAGAGTCAGAATCAGGGTCGTAGTCATTGTCTGATGGTGCCGACACTTGGCTCATGGCCTGCTGGACAATTCCATCCGGTCTTCCAAAACAGTGAAGCTCAGCATGCACATAAGCAAGTTATACTGGACCAAGCATCAACAATACCCACATGTCACTAGAAAATACTCACATGCTTTTGATGATCAAAAGCACATGACAAGATATCCCACGACAAGCAATAGGCAGAATTATGGCAAAATGTCGTGAAATATTATGGGCACATCAAATAGCCTGGTGAACTATTGTAACAGCCAACAGGTCACTAAGATCCTTGCATAGCCTTCCACAAAGGAGATTTACTTACACGACACAGGTTTCCTTGGCCCCTTCTGTGCATCAGGCATTGAGCTACCTCGTCCCTGTGGAAGATCGTGTATAAGCAAATACACTGAATTTAATACTGAATGAATGTCCCATAGTGGTAAAAACTACAGACTGCCCCTAGCACCCATGGCTATTGTCCCGATGGTCCTTTTTGATTTCTTATTTTTGCTTCGTTATGTTGCAGCCATTTAAAATACATGTTAACCGAATGCTCACACATTTTATAAACTAAAACTCTAGAGCTGGAGGTGTACACATCCTCCCCTCCTGGAATCCGTTTCTGTCTAGTTGCTGAAATGTCTGCTCTAGTATAAAACATCTCTGGCCTCGTTCCTACTGTCCTAAGTGGCCTCACAGCCTTTTTCGCTAAAGTCACCACATTTGTCCTGTTATCCACCCTCAAGCTCCCGTTTCCGCTCACTGCCCCAGCCCCTGGCCTCTCTCCTCCCCCTCCACTGCCCCCACCCCCTGGCCTCTCTTTTCATCCTCCACTGCCGCTGCCTCCCGTCCTCTCTCCAGCTTCTTCAGTGCCATGGGCTCTTGTGAGGTTCCAAGGTGGCATCTGTCAAATGCATGCTCTTAGCTTCAGCCATGCCACGTCTGTCCACTTCCTGGGTTGCTGTCATCCCTCACATTAGGCCTGCCTATTGTTCAGGTGTCCACAGAGTGATGCGGCGTCCCCTTCAGATGTGGGGCCACCTGCCTGTCCCGCGTTCTCCTTCCTGGTTGTCACCCCGTCACTGCCTCATGTTAACAATGCCTCTTTTCAGGACAGTCTCGTGTCCCCATTCGGATTCCCGGTCACTCCACGCACGAGCGCTGTGCTCTGAGGGGCTTTGTTCCTGGTGTCTGGGTCACCTGGTGGGAGGGTCAACTGAAGGGCCTCCACCAGGGGAGTGAAGGTGAAGCTGGGGCCTGTGTCAGCCCCCTTTGTGGAGGCAAGGCACCTGGTCCCTGCGCCTGGCAGGGGGCCTCTGCAGGTGCCCACGGAAGCCCATGCCCCAGGAGCACCCACCATGGCCTTCCTGTTCTCTGAGCCTGCCCACCCTGTGGGAAGGTGCTTTGGAAAACCACCTCCCCTGTGCTAGCTGAAGGAAGTGTGTTTCCAGCAGGAAGCAGGACTTGAAAGTTCCAGCACATTCTAAGGGGGGTCCCTTCTGCTGGGGGGAGGGCAGCTGAGAGCAGAGATGGGGATTCAGAAACCAGAGTGCTTCAAGCCCCCGGAGATGGGTGTTTCTAGAAGGTGTCATCATCGTTTTACTTCAAAGACTGGATTTCCAGGGTGTCATATATATCAATATTCAAATATAAAGGCAAGAATGCCAGTCCTCCATAGATCAATAGTAATTATTTTAGAATAGTCGGATATATTGATTTATTCGCATCTCTGACCCTGTCCACTAGCACAAACGAGCAGGGATTACACGTGTGCACTCTGACATCAGGCCAGCATTCTCGGAAGGGGAAGACCAGGGTGTGTCTGCACTGCGGGGCTTTCTCCTGGTGGGAGGCTCAGGTGTGCTGCTCACACACAGGTGGAGCAGGTCCGTGTGGGGCCCAGGCCGCGCTCTGGCGTGGTGCTTGTCCGTTACTCGTGTTCGCCTCTACTCCTGGGGTGGTGGTGTTGGGTCTCCTTGTTGTTACCCACAGACCCACGGGTGAGCCGTGGAGAACAGAGTGAGCATGGCAGGTTGTTCACCTGCAGCTCCCACAGCCAGCGGCACTCCTGCCTGCTGACGTGCACATGACTCTGAAGTCTTCTCTTTCAAAATGGAGTTAACTGGTAGTGCAGACTCTGACATCGTGACGAGTCAGACCACTGGACCTGCAGAGGAGGAGGCAGGCGGGTAACGGGTTGGGTCAGCTGAGCAGGGTGCATTTATCCTGGCTGTAGACTGGAGTCCAGAAGAGAACAGAGCCGGGCTCATGAGGAGAGGCTGCACTCACGAGGCTACCTGCAGGGTGAAGAGAACTTGGCCACGGAAGGGGCTGCTGACCTGTCAGGTGGGCGGGGGGCTCTGAGCACAAGGCCTGCACGTAGGTCAAGGGCCAGGAGAAGTGAACAGAGCTGGGGCCCCGGAGCAGGGCAGGGCTCACCCCACGGCAGATGCTTCTCTGGGGTCTGTTCCCAGGTGGGCCTGAGGGGAGGGGCCTCTGCTGCTCAGGCTGAGGATGGATCTGGGGAAGGAGACGTCCAGCCAAGGTGTGGAGGACCAGCATTTTGATGGACATGTCAGTGGGACAAGCAGCTGAGCATCTCCCTGTGTCCCCACCAGTGTGGGGGCTCCATGCCTGGCCTTGTCCAGGGAGGAGGGAGGACCCTCAATCTCACCTGAGCCATTTGGTGAGGGGTGGCCCTGGCTGTGAGCTATTTCCGGGAATCCTAGGGAGTGGATTTGCTCTTACCCTTTACTATTTCCCAAAACTATAAAGGCTTGGGGAGAAGTTCAAGATCATCAGAGGTAAAGAGCTAGTCTGTAGATAAAAGTTGAAATGTGATTAAATTCCTCATTTAACCAGAAAGTAAAACTTGGTTATTGTTAGTTTCCCAGAAACTGAAAATGGATATCTCCAGAATAGATAATGCAGAAACATAATGAAACCTCCTGCATTTGAGGTTCCAAAGGACCAGAGTGGATTCTTTCCTCTCTAAAGCTGCCTAGGTGGAAACCCACTCAGGGGAAACAGTGTCTCTGTGGGACGACAGACTCTGGCTGAGCCTCGGAGTCGGAGGACTGAGCGGAAACCTCCCTGCCCAGGAGGTCTGGGTCCCGGGGCAGAGGGTGCGGCCTGTTCTTATCTGCAAAGTGGGAACAACCACAGCTCTGAGGGCCTGAGGGGGCAGCAAGAAAGTGACCGTACCGGCCTGCCTTGCCTTTGGAGGATGAAGAGGAAGTCCTTTTGGCAATGACAGTGACAGAAGCACACTGTCTCTGTTCCTGCCTGTAAAAGTGCAGCAAGACACCACCACGTGTGATCATAGAGCACTGTGTGGGTGTGATCCTTCTGCAGACCCTGTGTGACTGATGCAAGTGTTAATAGTAACGACATCAGTGTCCTCAGTCAGGTCATCTGAAGGACTTAGCTCCATGTGGAGTCATGCTTCGTCCCACCGTGGTTGTTAAAGTTAGATAGATCCTGGAGGGCAGGTCATCCTGCTCAGGTTCTCTCAGGACAGAGTTCTCCAGCAGATACTGAAATTAAAGCAGACCAGAATAAATGCACACACAAGAGGTGCCAGCCAAGGCCTTCCATGCATGCACACCCCCACTTTAGAGGGGACCAGCACTTCCAAATGGAGGCAGCCATCAGCGACTCCTAGGGTCATGGAAAGGAGGCTGGGAACACCACTGGACGTGGGGATCTCGCAGTTGGAGAGGCGTGCTCCTCGTTAGCTCTGCTTGGCTCTTAACTACAGTACGGTGCTGTGAATGCAATGGCACTTATTACAGGAGGTAATGAGGCCTTAAATTGGGGAAATTTTAAAGACTATAGTATTTTATTGGTATAACTTTCCAAAATGATTACTTAGGAAGCTATTAAATGGATAATTCATCAGAACAATAGAATATGGAAGCAGTGGGATTGCAAGTGGCCCTTGTCCTAGAAACCATTCCTCCATTTCCATGTGACCAGCCCTGCTCACCTTCCCAGCCTCCTGTCCGCCCCAGGACTTTCTCTCCCTTCCACACACTCTTCAAAACGATTTCCCACTCATTGGCTTGGGTGAAGGCACAGAGGTCTTTCAATGTCCTTCAAAGGAACCGCAGGTAAGGGAGGACCCCAGCCCCAGGCAGAGCAGAGGGGACAGAGGGGGCAGAGCTTGAGGCAGGAGCCAGGCACAGGGGGCACCAGGCTGCAGACAGTGACCACACTCCTAATCGGTAAGTGTTTCCCAGGACAGCAGGACCATGCCCAGGCCGTGACAGACAGAGGGAGAGCCATGCCTCTCCAGTCCCAGGGAGGGGGAAACTGGGGAGCAGTGGGGTGCGGGGCCGCAGACGTGCCTCCAGGAGCTAAGAGTCACAGCCACCGGAGCAGGGAAGGACTCAGAGGCACTCGGCAGGGGCGTGGGAACACCATGCCCAGTGCTAAATAGCGGTTTCGTAAACAGACTGTATGCTGGATGGAGGAGCAGGATGCGCATGCTCACGTGGACTCTTAGGGCACCTCGTGGCTTAAAACTGGCACAGCAAGGGACGGATCACAAGTGGAAGTCTCTTCACCATGGACTGGGAGCCAGGGAAGGGCGAGGTCCCTGGCTACTGTTAGGAAACAGGAGGATTGAAAATGAGGAAATAGTCTCTCACAGGACTGCCTCTTTCCGTTTTCCGGCTGCAGAGGCGAGCTATGTGCTGGGGAGCGCTCTCCAGGTCCCTGCTGGGTCTGAGTCACTTACCTGCAGGCTCACTTAATTTGCCTGTGGCTGAGGGGCTGCAGGGACCCACTAAACAGGGCCCAACCGGCCGGAGGCCTCTGGGCGGAGGGCGCCCGCTCAGGCTCTGCTGGCATGTCAGGGTGGATCCAGGGCAAGGCGCTCCTCAGGCCCAGCCTCCCCTGGATTCTGTTTTTAGTTTTAATCCTTTAATACTCTTTGCAGGGATCTCCATCCAATAGCTCGAAATGTCAAAATTCCCTTCCTCTGAAACAAATGGCTGTAAAATAAATGGTCAGCATTATAGAAACTGAAATCAACAAGTTACCATTCAAGACAGTCGCTGTGAGGTTCCTCCTCTTAGAGGGCTGATCAATCTGCTCGTGTTATTCCAATATTGCTTAATGATTCACTTTGCAGTGATTTGTTTTTAAAGAGCAAAGTCCTCTTCATGCAAGTGCCACTGAGGCAACTTCCCGGGAGGGCATCTGTGAGTCCCCAGGCACAGGGCTCAAATCCAGAGGCCACAGCACCGAGGCAGGGTGTGTTGGAAGCAGCCATCTAAAAACGCCTGGATTTCCTCTTTGTGTGGTTGTGTAAACGGGTTAATTTTCGTTAGAACAAAAGGGGATGTTACTGCAGGATGACGGAGATGCCTCAGCCACAAACAAGACGAATACTTGCTTTAAAAAAAAAATGTCAAAATGTGGATGTGCCTCCAATCATTTAAAAAATAGAAGGTGATAAGTTGAAAATGTCAGGTAATTGGCAGACAGATAGAAAGTTAAACTGTGTCCTCAGTGAAGAAAATTAACCAGCAGCTGCCAGCAGGGACCCCAAGGTCATGTGAATGCCAGAATCAAGCGAAGCCCAATCATTCAGAGGGGGTCCAGCCTGATGTTTCCCTCCCTGGTCATTTTCAGATCTCTTAGGAACTGCCCTGAACTACTGCCAACATGTGTTCATTTCTAAAAATTACATGGATTGTGATTTATTACCCATCACAATACAAAAATCCACTGTGAATTAAATCAGCCCTTTGTTTAAATTGCTGCCCGGCAATCCGCATCATATCATCATAAATGACATTGAAGTTATCATCCGCAGCCCTCAGCCTCGGCCACTGATAAGGCCCCACCATGGGACGATCAATACTTACTATTCATTTTTGAAATTATCTTCACATTGATCCCTGAACAAGTGCCAGCGACACAGAGGCACAGTGACTTTAATACAATAATTATATACAGGTTTACAGGCTCATCCTCCCGGCCAATAAAAGCTGTCAACTGGCAGGGACAGTTACAATCCCATAATCCATCAAAACGCTGTTCTCTGACCTATGGGCTTCTGGGCGTTCGGGAGACCACGATCAACACGCCTGTGGAGGAGAGCGGAGCGGCTCGGACTGGCTACACAAAGGCTGCAGATGGACATTACTGATTAGCAGAAATCCTCCCGCCGAGCAGTGCCTGCACTTTTTTTTAATGATAGGAACAATGAAGGGGCATCTATTTGCTAATTGTAATTCACCAAGAAGGAGCTCAGACAGCCTTTTCCTGGTTTTATATTTTAGTCTTTAATTGATCAGGTTTGACTTTCAGCTGATGATACACGGTAATGAAGGAAGTCATAGAAATCATGGTGAGGACAGGTACCGACAGTGTGCATACACCCAGACCAACGTGCACACTCGCACACTCGTGAACACCCGGTGTGTGCACACAGCACACACACACAGGTGCAGAATCACAGTAAAAGCCTTCCCAGGCCAGGCTGAATGGATGCTGTAACTTAGTAAAGAAATACGTGTGTGCTTGCAATGCTGTTCCTGTATGACAAGCTCATTCACTGCATCTCTTTAAGGTGCCATTGAATGTAACCTTGCTTAGGGAACAGACTAAAAACCTTAACAGAATATATGTTGGGTTTCCTATTAATTCTTAACTGTTTCCAATTATGATTTGATAATCAATTTGCACTGCTAGAGGATGGGAGCTGGCTGGGCCCAGGCTGTGAACAGAGTGCCCGGGAACCTGGGAGCCCTCTTACAGCGGAACAGAAGGGGGAAGAATCACTGTGCATGCTCCCTGAGAGGGCAGGGCCAGCGGAATGCACCAGGGCTGAGGATTCTTGCTGCCTCCGCAAACTTGGGCTGCCTGAGCACCAGAGGATGCGGCTCTAATACGGGCGTGCATTGCAAGCACGGTGCCTTGCACCTCAGCCAAAGTCTGTTCTACACTCTTCAGTTTTATTCTTCTGTTCCCAAAAGGTCCAGTCAATTATTTTTTGAAGGTGTTGAGGATCTCAGTCGTATCAAATTTGACAAACTACTGACTTTTTAAAGAATTTTTGGAAAATGTGTTCATTGTTTAAAACTGCTATTGTAAAATACTGATGGGAAATGGTCACCTGGCATGGGGTGGAACTGCTGTCCATGAGTTTGTGCGACATGGGTTGGAGTGAATGTGTGTATTTGCAGAGTAGTTGAATATTAGACGGGCCTTGAGGGAAACTGGAGGAGTGATTTTATCTATTGGGGGCCGGAATAAGCAAATAGTGGTTACAGAGTACCAACCCCGGAACTTGCTGGGAGTGTGAGGAATGTGACAGATTCAAAAATTAAGCACTGGGCGTGGGGCTGGGAGAGCTATCTGAATTTGCACTAGGCATTGTTATCTTCTGATCTATTCACTTTAAATTTATTTTTAAGAAACCACATTGCTTATCACTAAGGGAATGCACCCTGCTCCAACCTGCCTTTCCACCGCCCAGGTTCTTGGACACTATCCTGCCGAAGGAGGGCTCCAGGGCTTCTCTGGGTCCAACCCTTGCAGTCCAGCTGTGTGGATACCTTCTCTCATTCTCTTATTTTACGCCAGGTCAGGATTTCTCCATCTTGACTCTGCTGATGCTTTGAGCCAGGCCTTTACAGTGGTGGGAACTGTCCTGAACACTGCAGGGTCTTTGCCAACATCTCTTACCTCTGCACATGCCCTTCCCCACCTGTGACAACCGCACCTCTCTCCAGTATCCCCAGGTACAGCCTAAAGTTGTAGCTTGGTTCAGAGACACTGCTGTATTTTTCTTCTCCTGTAAGGATGCTGTGCCCTTGCACCAGTCTTAAGAAGTGGCCCTTGGTGACAGAGCACCAGGTCACATCACTCCATGATTTTTAGCATAGTTTCAGGTATCTTGAGTGCCTAGCAGCTTGGGCATTACCAGGGAGGTCTCTTGCCCCTAGAAGATTCTGCTTTGCATGTCAGCAATGGTGGATGGGTGCCAAGACAGAAGCTGTGGGAGCTGCAGAGCAGCCCGTCTCAGCAGAGACCACGAGGATGGGTGGAGATGCACAGCTCTGGAGGGAGGGTGCCCTCCACCCTGCTGTTGGGGCTGGAGGAGCCCCTGCCCCTGGTCAAGCACAGCCTGGGCTGCTTTTCCACCCACAGCTTGGAACAGAGACAGTGCTGGAGTCCTCTTGTCTGATACCACACTGATGGACGGTAGCAAAACCAGAAGAGGGCAGGGTCTTGAAGGGCAGGAGCACTGGGTGCTTCTGTGACCCCTCTGGGAGAGGAGATATGCGTGCCCTGGAGGGACTCGACTGGAGTTAGCTGAGGGACCTGAGGAATGTGGACTCCTGGTCAGCCAAGGGAGGTCCTCAGCAACTGGATTGGGGTTCTCCCTCCCCTCAGCATGGCAAGAAAGGAGAAGGACCTTGGAAATGAGAAGGTAAGGAAAGTGAAGAGTTTTGTGGTTCAACAAGAAGTGGATACTATGGAAAATGGTGCTGCCATTGTGTCCAAGTTAGTAGTTCTTGTTAAAGGCAAAGTCTGAAGTGCAGGCTCCAGCCAATGTGTGTGATTTGTGATGACATCTGTGCCTCAATATGCTAATAACTTTGAATAACAGTGATTCCTACCACTTGAGGGACCTTTTAGAAGATGGGAGAATCACTACTTCTTTTTCCAGGAGATTTTCTCAGATGTTGTTAAGTCCTGCGTGGAGGGAGAGCCAAGGAGAAGGCCGTGAGCTAGAGATGGTGCAGCCCCTGGTTCCTGCCAGCCTCCTGTCAGAGCCTTGGGAGCAGGGAGCAGGCTTCTCGGGCCACGTGATGGTGGCAGGTGAACGTCTCCAGGAACGTTTCATTTCTTCCTTAATTCAGGCTCCACTCATGTGTTTCCTGGTCCTCAACCTTCCACTAGAAAATAGCGCAGCTTGGAGCTCAGAGACGGTCACATAAAAGATATATGAAATTCTCAGCATCCTCAAAGTGCCTTCTCCTGTATTTTTATTTAATTGCTTTCGACTTATAACAATGGGAAGTACTGAGCTGTGGCAGAACAGCGGCCGCGGGAGCCGCAGACGATGTATCTATTATCTCGCTCGCATGAAGGTCGTGGCCTATGACAGTCGGAGTAGCAGAAACATTAGAAATCATGTGCAATTTAATCTTTACACAAATAAAGGAAAAGCATCACAATGCCTGAATAATGAAGACCCTCTCGGAGAAAGGGAAAGTCCGTCCCTGAGGATGGGCTTCATTTTCTCTCCTGAGCGGTTCCAGTGCGCACACGGATGAGATCCGCTCTCGCTGACACGCGTATTAATGGTGTCGGGGCTGCCGAGTTGATGTTCCCGTGATTGCCGCGCGCAGCTGTGACTCGGTTCTCCTCCGCGCTCTGCACAGCCGCTGTCACTACGCGCTGTCACCGGGAGTGGAATTAACCGTTTTCCCTCCTGCTTCAGCGGAGAAAGCTTCAGGCCTCACGTTGCAGGATAGTTGCCTGAAGCACCCTAAATCTTTTAGAAAGTTACAAAGAAACACAAGTTCTGAGCCAGGCTGAGGGAAGTCCAACAGTCCCAGGAGCATAAACTGGAGACGTTTGAGGCAGAAACAAAGCGTTGTGAACACTCCTTGCCTGTGAAAAGGAGTTTTCCTGCAACTGCTTCCTCTGGCCCTCAGACCCACAGAGGAGGAAGGGGTTGTGCAAAGCCCCATCTGGTGGGCAACTCTTCCCACTCACTGCCAGGAACCCTGTGCCAGGTTGTGTAGCCAGAGGCAGGTGTGCCTTGGGCAGGAGACGGACTGGGGAAGAGAGAGGCTCAAGGCACAGGGAGAGGAGGAGACCCCGGGCCTCACAGCCTCCTCCTCATAGGACACACGACAGCAGGCCCTGGCCAGAGCCCTGGGCTGCCCAGGGAGGGGAGGAGACCCCAGGCCTCACAGCCTCCACCTCATAGGACACACCACAGCAGCCTCT